TGAAATTATTGCTACTCTATTAGACCTCACTAACAATGAGACATATTAAAAAAAAAAATTGACACTGTAATAATATAATAATATTTCTTTAATTTTTATTCTAATTTTATACTATTAATAATATTATTATATATACATATATATATATATATATATATATATATAATATTATATTATATTAAAAATATTATATATATTTTATACTAATTTTATACTATTAATAATATATTATTATACTACGGATAATGCTGATATTTTCCATGTCATATAGAATTTGTCAAATATTCTTACGTCTGAATTAACACTATGCCATATATGTACATCAATAGCCAAAAGTTTAGAGCAGAAATTTTATTCTAATTTTATACTATTAATTTTATACTGTACATCAATAACCAAAAGTTTGGAGCAGAAATTTTATTCTAATTTTATACTATTAATAATATATTATTACACTACGAATAATACGAATATAGTATTTTCCATGGCATATAGAATTTTTCAAATGTTCTTACGTCTGAATTAACACTATGCCATATACATCAATAGCCAAAAGTTTAGAGCACGTTGGGATTTCAAAAGGAATAGTAATTTTCTTATTTAGGACATTAATATTTTAAAATACTGAAGCTCTAACCAACTACATCTAGAAATTAAACTTGTAACAACACCTCCGAGAAATGTGTTTCTTGGAAAAGATTTATTTCGTCTGGAAAGCAGAGAGCGCTTCAAACTTTCGAGTAGGAGTGTTACGATATAACAATCCACTCGTGAGTCACATTAAATACCAGCAGCATAGATTTTAGTAAAAATAATAAACAAAATCGTAAGAAACCTAATTACATACCTATGCTCCACTGAATGAGATTAACTTTTTTTTTAAGGTAATTTTTTAACAAATAACAAGTTAAAAAATTCAAATAAATGTCAAATTTTTTTTCTGAACACCGATAAATAATATAAATAACAAACGTCGCTTACAAATGAGCCTGAGTTGTACGAATTCAATCAAAGTTGTTTTGGTGGCCGTGAACCATCGCCACGTGCTCTCGCAATATCATGCATCCAGAAGAATGAAAAGGATATCTATAATTTCCGATCGAATGGACGTCGGATCTCGTTCAACGAAATCTCTTTATCAACGAATAGCAACGAACAAAATCGCGCTAACAAAACGTTTAGAAATGCAATTTTCAAACGAGTCCAGAGATATTACGATGATATTTACGGGACGCGATGCCGAGTGGTGAATGAACTTTCCTCGTTGATCCGGTGGACATTGAAACTGCGCGAATCACGCTGCGGATCGGTTTATTTCAAAATCGTGACCGGAGTTTCGAATCCGTTAAGTTGGAAACTCGTCGGTAAACTTACCACCATGGCGGAGTAAGTAGACATCTCTCTCTATATTCGTGGTGATAAATATTAATAGCTCATGGACATTACTTTCGTCAACTGCGAATCATTGGAAAGAACACGGAGGATGATTCAATAATTATCTACAATATAAGATTTTCAATAGCATTTTTTTAAATTAAGCAAAATTCAATCTAAATGTGATTAAAAATTGAAATTAGAAAATATAGAAAAATATTACTAGAAGAATATTATTTTTCAATATTGCTTGTCAGTGTATTTGGTCCATTTTTGGTCCACAAACTTTTCTACACCTCAACGACAAAAATATTTTCTACTACGAAACGTGCACAAACCTCGCGTGCATCGCTACTTTTAAACTTATCAATCCACTCGTACACATACTAGAGATTGAGGAAGAATATTTTCCTTGTACCGTGTCGAAAGTTTCCTACAGATTTCAACCTCGGACATTCCTTCAGGCCAGAGAAATAGAACTTTCTTCAATAGAATGCGTGTCAGTTATTGTTACTGTCATAATAAGTAAGTGAAAATAAGGAAATATCGTCGAGTCACAATGACCGTAACAATTAATCTCAGATTGCTAAAATTCAACTTTGTACTTTCTCAAATCCACCGCAATAAAAATGTCGAGACTAAGCAAACTGTTCGATCCAAAATTGCCGCGTATCTTTCATAACGATAACACGACGCTATGCCGATTATGTCGCAAATAATTATCCTGGTACACGCTAACGAGGAATAATAACAACAATTCTGACAATGACAAAACAAAGAGAAGGAACAACGAAAGCCACGATATATTGTTTCGTCGCCAGCGAGCCGTTAACTAATCGTTGCTTTCTAATTTCTGCGCGACCAGCGCCAAATCTACGCGTTAGCAGCCCCGGCGGCGATTCCCTTACAGAATCGGGGGCCGAGCGCTTTTGGTCGCGCTTAATGCACCGATTGCTCGTTTACGGTGATTTCCTCGCATTTATTAGCGTGCTGCTGGTATATCGACGCTCGCGAACGATGCTGGAAATGTTTCTCTCTTTCAGCATAACGAGGCAAATCCAGCCGGCGTGCGCGATATCCGTTCCAAAACCCGACAACATTTTTAAAGCTTATTAGCGGGTGTTCTCGCGTTCCGCGGCCAATGTAATGGATTAACATCACGTTACGTTCTACGCATCGTGCAATTACACCGCTAATTCGGCTGACGAAAAATGTTTCGCAATAAAACGTTGCCTCGTTCTCGTGACGAATTAAACCGCCCTCCTCTCGTCTGTACGAAGCTATTTGCATTGGCTGGTTATTAGACGCAATTTGTCCGCGTATTATACCTTTAATTCGATTTATTACGGGCAGCGGCGGATACGATCCTCGGGGAGGACCCTCAAACCAATAATCATTTCGGCGAACCTCCCCGGAGCTTTTGCGAAACTTTTATTGCAAAGTTTCACACACAATGGTCAAACACACACATAATGGTTATCCGCGTCACGAATGAAATGCAGATTTATTTATCTTTGCGTTGAAGAATTTTGTTCCCGATTTGGTATCAAAGTGACTGTATACAGATAGCACGATAACGATGTTACAGACATACCAGATTTGCTCGATCGAAACTATTTTGCCAGTACACTTTCCCGTATTCTGCTGTGAATTGGCATCTTACAATTTTATTCGATTTATTACAGTTATGTTTCTTTCTCTGACTTTTCTGTTATCACGTAGACTTAAAATTTCGTGCGTTTACTTTGAAAGTGGTATCGCAACGTATATGAGAGTAAGGTCTAAGATCGGCGTCTTTTTATTTTTGAGAAATTTGTAAGTATCGTACCAGTGTATCATTTTCAGTTTAATGATTCAGCATAGTTGTTCTACATTTACTTTTCACTAGTGACAATTTGGAGAAGGCTTTTCCCGCTTTGCAAGTAGATAACGTGTATTTTCAGACATATACACATGTCGTTTCAGCCAATCTAAAAAAATGTGCTTCGCGTACGTAATTTCGACAATCGTTTGTCAATTTCTCTTCTCGTGCCAGCAAATTCCACCGTGCAATCGTTTTATCAATAAGCAGGTGATTCCACAGGAAAAAAATAAATCGAAAGGGGATAGAATAATTTCGTTCGAGGAGCTTGAAGATTCATCAACTACCAGTATAGTTAATCTCGGACTGATCAAGAGTAAATTATTCCATCCGTGAAAATAAAGTCGGCAGTGCACAATGCGATCTTTTCGCAGAGCGCTCGGTTCTCCGGAAAATTAAGTTTAAAAATTTATCAAATGCGCGTCGACTAAACCCCAGTTCTTAACTGAACGGGTTCAAAGTCCATCCTCCCTGGGAAAAGAGATCTTAAACGATCTGAAAATTTCACGTTTCTACATTTTTCAACTTATCTCCGCGCCGATGGAACGGACTTCTCCGATCAATTAGCAATTCCTTCACTAAAAATTAGTCGAGTACGAGCGATCAATTTTATCTCAAAAAGGGAGCAGCAAGCCTCTTCGTCTTATTTCTATTATTATCTACCCATTCCGATACCTAGTATTATATCTCCGATTCAATCCGGAATCGGTGGAATTACATCGCGATATCGGCGACGACAAGGCAGAAACGAGGTATAATAGACCAGACGAGACTAATCGATCGGCATAACGGGATGTAATCGCCTGCCTTCGGAGGTTCAAAGGTTCCGATCGCGAGCAATCCCCCCACGGCCGTTTGACAAATTTACACGTTTAGCCGCGCAAACACGCCCCCCCCCCCCTCTCCTCTCCTCTCCTCCACCTTGGCCCGAAAAAGAAACGAACTCGCGGCCCCATTAATCCCGATCAACGCGACGCAATCAATATCGGTTAATTACCGGCGGGAAAGGGAGCCGGTAGTATCGAGTCTCGGACTCATTAATCTTGAGTTTGCCATACATCGCGCGCTTTTTCCACTGTTCTTGCCCGGCGAGCGGTGAATGGAGAAGCACGTTTTCCCAATCTCCTCGCGTCTTGGCTCAACCCCACTACGTAACGTCCGGTCCACCCCTCTCTCTCTCTCTCTCTCTCTCTCTCGGCTGACTCTTGCGAGCTCGCACGAAGATTATCGAGCTTGCACGAAGCGGGGGTGTTGGAAAAGTGGGTTGTGTGTGGGGTCTGTGGACGTACGCTGGAGACTTTCCGTGCGAGGGGAAAGGGGGTGGGAGGGTTAGGTTTGTGGAGGCGGTGGGGCACGGGGGCAGGAGAATGGCGAGCGAGAGCCGGCGGTAGGGTGAGTTTGGGGCGCAGGTTGGAACGAGAATGGTATCCGTGCGCGAAAGCTCTCATTGGCAGCATCCAGTGTCATCGCGGAGCTCGAGACGCGCGCTTCGTTTTTCGCGAGGGAGGTTTCTGCGGCGGTCTCACCGATCGATCTCTTCGACTTTATCGAAGACGACCGCGACGACGGGGCCCAAGTACACCTGGGGTCCCCAAACCTTGTCGCAGCTATCGCGATCTCGTCTTTCTTTTTCTGTTTTTTTTTTTTTGTTCTTTTTCCACGCGTTTCATCGCCCACGTTCCTCTCCTCGCTCGGGGATCGGGTTGGTACCCCAATGAGAGGGGTATGACGTCGATCGCTCGTCGCGTCGAGTGAATATGTTCGTTGACACTCGGTGGTGAAGAAGTTTTCTCTCACCCGCGGGTGGTGGATCGCCGACGAGGCTTGCGAGAAGTTGCTTGCGGCCGACGATCCGAAGGATCGATGGAAGTAGCGGGCGAGAGTGCGACAGGAACTCGAGAACGGAAGCGCGACGGGATAGAGATGCCGATGTTTGGAGTTTGGAGTGACTGAGGTACAGACGCGCGAGTAACAGACGAGTGGCCATCGGACAACCGATGACAGGAGATAGTAGCAGCACGTGTTCGCGGCGCGCCTCGTCCAAGGACTTGAATTCACCTTCAACATCATCACCACCGCCGCGGGGGAGAATCTCTCCAGAACGATGTTGTGAGAAGTGTGCAAACAGCGGTGCGACGCTCGGAATATAAATAACGGACGACTCCGCGCGTCTGGGCGAAGGAAAGTCGAAGGATTATCGCCGGTGATCCGGGTAAGCTGACGTACAGATTTCTTCGAGGCATTTTCTTCCTCTACCGCCGTGTGCTCGTACTCTCTCTCTCTCTCTCTCTCTCTCTCTCTCTCTCTCTCTCTCTCTGTGTGTGTGTTTCCACCACGCTGAGAATCTCCTCAACGCGGAAACGTCGAGTTTACGGTTTGGCGAATTCGCCCCGCGGCCACCAATCGTAGCTTATATTACAAATTCCATTGCCAGATAACGTATCGATTCCACCGGAGAGATGTTTAGCAAAATCGACGAGGTAAACGAGCAAGATTCACGATAAACGCGCCCGCCGACCCGTATTTCGCATTACACCGGCGGATTCCTGCCGCTGGCTACGACCCGTCGTCCGATCAAAGCGGAAACGACGAAACTTTCATGATTAAATATGCACGTACAATGCGAAGATTGCGAACGTACGTTTGCAATCTTCTCTTTCGGCTGTGAAGTCAACGAAACTAATTGACAAGTGCTTGCAAGCACTCGAGCAAATGCAACGAGACGCGAACGTTGGCTTAATCCTCTTGAGAGTGCCGTCTCAAATTACGCTTTATAATTGTACGTCGTTGGTTTTTTTTTGCAACGTTGCGATACACGATTCGTTCTTCTTCAACGAGTTAGTTCTTCTCCGCGAGTACTCGTGAATATTTGAATTTGGGATTTGCTCGACGCGATGAACACTGGGTATCGCCGCTCGTTCTTCCTTTCACGACGTTCGGTTTTGACAATATTACACGATTGTGGATAGTCTATTCGTGTAACCCAAATCCTCTGTGTGTGACACTTGAAATTACAGTCGGTTATTACTCTGGTATTGTAATTCGTTCTTCAATAACCGCCATAGTATTTTGTACTCGAGCTGTGACAAATGGCAAATAATACTGGCGTTCAAACAAGCTCGTTCTTCGTTGCTCCGTTCATTTTCTACGAGTGTTACGTGAAAATACAGTGTGAAATAAAGTTGTCAATCTTTGCGACACAATCTTCGAAACACACGATGCGTGTAACGCCTCCGTCGACAAACGCTGGATATTCATAGAGATTCACTCTATATCAATCCTCTCCACCATTTTTAAACTCTGTCGTCCGTTCACATCGTTAACTTTTACAATATTCGATATCCTTCGATAATCAACCTTCGATTGCCAAATCTCCAGTATCGGGGTTGAACGAACACGCGCGCGTTGCGACAGGATCGTCCCGGCATCGGAAGTTCAAGGGATTACACAGAGTCAATCAAAATCGAAGCTACGAAACTCCCGATAATTTTCGAATCCCTGGAATTTTCGGTCGCCAGAGGCAATCCGGTTCTTTTTTTTTTTTTCTTTTTTTTTTTTTTATAATA